TATGAATTAACAGTATATGAATGTTCTTATTGTATAAATATATTATATGTAACTGTATTATATGTATATTCATATTCCTTTCATTATAAGCTTTTATTTAACTTATGGGTTACTATTATATGATTTAATATTCTTAAGTTAGTCTCAGTCTTTTAATTTTACGGTCTCCCACATTCACAGCTACTTTTGGCTTGACTTTGTACAAATGTTAGTCTTTATTCTATGGTATAATGTGACCTGATTTGTTTGTATATAAACCCAGTATGTTTGAAATGTATAATTCATATCGTGAAGACTGAGACTGTCATTCTGAACTTAACAGTCAGGGCTAGGCGGTTTAAGGACCAATCGAAACTCTTGGCTACCCGAATTATTGTATGCATCATTAGTTTCGTCATATTATTCAGCGTATCTAAATTGGTAAGTGTATTTCGCGGTAATCGTATAAGCTAAGGATATAACACTTTATCAGTTCATATATACATATATCATATATTCATCATAATTACGTTACTAACCAAAAAATTATAGCTTAAAAATTTTCAGAAAATATGAACTTAAATCGATGAAAACAGTTTTACAATCACCTGTGTAATAAACTAGGTGGAAAATAGTGTAATAGAATACATCCGTCAATAATACTTTACAGCACTCAAATAGATTTTAAGTTTAATGATTATACATGCATAACTAAGTATTAAATGCTTAGAGTAATATTAAACACATAAATTTAATTCAAAATGATAAACTTTTGTTATTGTAAAGTTAATCGAAATTGAATTTATGTCTAATAAACATTTGAATAGATCAACTTGGAGGATATTTTACTTGAATCTTTGATCTATTTTAGTATGCACACTATTTGAACTGGTGACTTGACGATACTATAGTGAATGAGAACTCAGATGGGGAAAGCCAGACATACATACAGTTGTTAAGTAAAATGCATTATTTGCACAGCTTCTTCGCACTGACCTTCACATACCCCACTATTCCTCCGATTGTTTTGTTACTTCGATCACTCTTCGATCCCCTTCCTGTTTTCTTCATTTCAATCTTCTGCTGACAGGCATTCCAACTCCTAATGCTGCTACATACTACTCATGTCTGTCAATATAAGTAACATACACCACGATAGTACTGTATATACTGATCATAATCTGGGTGTTAACTATGACTGAAATTTAGAATTTGTGTTTCATCTTATTAAAGACTCTTTAGTTCGATGTATATGCTTCATAATGTTGGCAACCTCTCCCAGATTCCACACGAGTAACCATCAACACTGGATTGTACAAACATTTTCATCCAATGAGTCTTTCATGGGGTGGAATATATGTTCTAGATTTTACTAATAGCCAATATTTCAAAACTTGTTCGTTTTACAAAATTTATACTTATATCATCTATGTCTTATTGAGTACTATAGAAATATGATTTTATATCTTTCCTAATAAAAAAAAACAACTTTTTCAATTTCTTACCAACGTTCCCAAATTGGAGGGGGGTCATTAAATAAGCACAGAGAGGAACTGTTTTAAGTTAAATAATCTTTACACAATTGCAATGAAGATTCAATAAAATAACTCAGGTTTAGAAAATCTGCCTTACTAAAATAATATTTTTTCGTTTTTCATTGATAAATAACTATCTCAAGAGGTATTTATAATATCACACCAATAATTGAAGGATTGTCGTAATGGGTGATATTAAAAAAAATCTATCGTCTCTATGAACAACAAGCATATAGTACAGGTTACGTAATTCAATGTTTAAAAGTTATTTTAATAGTTAATAATTCCATGATAAACTGTATATACCAGTCTTTTTGTACAGATTTATGTGTACGCGATGAACAGATGAAAAACTGAATATTATTTCTGCTCGGACTAAATCTAACAATCATGAGGTTACGGTATCGATGTTTTATCGTCTGAGTTACGCGAGTTTATCTCTTAAAACTTATGAACGAATGTATTACACTTATCAGTAAATTATTCTTCTACAAGCGAAGTTGAAGTGAAATCGAAAATACGTTTATTTTCTTCAACAGACCTTTAAATTATCATTTTTAAAGTTGTGATTCAATTCCTAGAAACTTTGAGACAAGATTTTATGATTCAGTATAAATGAAGAATTTTACAATTAAACAATGCATGCAAGTCCTGGGGTATGGTGTTAATCAGTTAGTACAAGTTATATGATAAGTAATATGTCTTAAAATTACCTACGTCCGTTTTACCTCGTGGAGAAGCATAGGCCGCTCACCAGCATTCTCCATCCAACCATGTCCTGGGCAGTCCTTTCCAGCTCCTTCCAGTCGTTATTCATCTTTTTCATATCTGCTTCTATTTCCCGACGTGATGTGTTCTTTGACCTTCCTCTTTCCCGTTTCCCTTCAGTATTCCAAGTAAGAGCTTCTTTCGTGATATAGTTTAATGACTTTCGTTATGTATGTCCTATTCACTTCCAACAACTTTCTCTAACTTTCTCTTCAGCTGTAAGCTGGTTTGTTCTCTTCTGTAGTAGACTGTTGTTGATAACTTAAAACTAACTTAAAGTCAAATGATAATTAAACTATAAAGAAATATCTTACCTCACAAACTTCAATGTTATTCAAATGAATCGTTTTGTTTTTTCTTAGGAATTCCTGAAAATTTTATACAATTGATTCCTTTTATGAATTCGGCTATTATTCTACCTCAATTATTGTTTTATCTTTATTCAATTCTTGATAAGATTATGATAATTCAAATAAGAGAAAAACATCTAAATGATAATATTTTTAATATTTGACTTTATCTTATTAATAACAACATCAAGTAACAAATAACTATTTGTTATCGTTGAAACTAAAAAATGAAGTTGGTACATTTAGACTTTTCAATGAAATATGTAAATTAGGTGACAAAACTTAATATGTTTATATACTAAAGTAATTGGCTGATATATTGTTTATTATTACTTAGTAACTAATCTAAGGTTCATAAATTGATAAGATAAGTATATATGGAATAAATTAGAAATACAAAACTAAAAGCAATATATTAAACCACATGCCTACAAATAAACCTTGTCATGTAAAAGGACTGTAAACTTATGCTGATAACAATAAGAATCTTTTTTGGTTAAGATCATGAACCGATTGATGTTAGACCACTATTGAAAATCTGGAAGCGCTGTACGGCCGTTTCGTTCCACTATGGGACTCCTCAGAAGTGCGCATCCACGATCCCGTTCACGGGATTCGAACCCAGGGCCTTCAGTCTCGCGCGCGAACGCTTAACTTCTAAACCACTGAGCCTGCATCCAATGGTGTTAATGTCTAACCTCAACCAATCCACGAAATCGCGCGACCATCTTCCATTGTACTGAGGTAGATATCTTTCTCTACCCGATACAGATTGGTTCCACTGGTCACGGCTTCTCTTTTTTATTCAATGCAATATGTTTAGTACAGTAGAGGATTTTCAGCACAAATTGTAAAGTAGTTCAACAAATTCTTATTGATCTGTATTTAAACTGCGAAATTTCAAACAAGTACGTCAATATATATTGTAATAATGACTAAAGGCATACTATTTTCAACCGACAAAGTTTTGGACAGCACTGGTTTTTTAAAAGCTTTTTTCTATATAGTATGCTTGTTAGATAAAACATTGTAGAGTTTTCACTTTATGCGAGAAATTATTGATTGATATGATCCTCTAGGAAGCGGAAATAAGATATTTACAACTTTAAGAAGTTTGTTTGAAATACCACCATAGTGACTTAAATGTCTCCACTCTAATATTCATTAGCCTACCTTTATTTTACAGAATCCCTAATATTGTTCGTTTTCACTGCTAGTTACTTCCCATTTAGAGAAATTGAGAGACTCCAGTCAGAAGCATATCGTTGTATGGTAAGATGGTTCACAGTCTTCGGTTTCATATAATACAAACATTTATGATTATTATTATTATTATTACTATTATTATTAGCCTTATTCAATTTCGTATTTCTGGTACAATATAGAATTCTCAGCACAAATTATTCCAGCGAGTTTTCTTTTTATTTCTTGATCGACATTGACGATAAATATTGATTGATCGCCAGTTAGATATTAGCATTTCAGAAATTGACATCTGAATAATATTTTTTTTCAATGCACATTACTAGCCATCATGATGTCCCAGATTTAAGATTTTGGTAACTAGTACAAACGCACCTGAATGGGATATGTAATTAATTGACAGAATGATCTGTTAAAACAAATAAGGAAACCGATAACTTGTTAGAATATCTAGATGGCACGAACAGGTAGCCCAGATATTCAAGTACGCCACCCGGATGTTAAAATTTGTTATTTTCTAAACTTATCAATCTTAAATACAGTCTGTATTCTCATGATTATATCTTCTCACCAACAAATGTGGCCTTCAGGACGTTACCCCTCTCCCAGGATGTGATGATAGAGTTATTGTGAGTCACTTCTTAATATATCTTACAGCAATGCAATACTTCATCATTTCCGGGTGGTCCTGTTGGTCCAAATCAGGTGCAAATGTGTGTACTTTTTTATGTAGGTCTGCAGTTCACTTATAATGACTAGTTGTCGACTATAAGTGATATAACTTTAAATCGGTAGCAGTGGAATAAACACACTCATTCTTTTTCTTTCTCAAATATATGAATATAATGTTATAGCATAGTTTTCATTCAACGATTCCGTCTGCCTTTTATTACTTTTAACCCTTGTTTTTCCATTTATGTTGTTGATATTTGTCCCAGTCATTGGCTTCACATGTTGTCAAGTTGCTCTCTCTCTCTCTCTCGATGATAATGTTAATTGTAGCGCCTTAAACTAATAAACATTTGAATCACATTCCATATTATTTATGTTTATCTACTTACCTCAATGTTTATTGGTCAAATTAACTGACCTATGAGAAATTCCTAAGACGCTTTAGAAAATTCATTTATAAAAACTTGGAAAAAAAAATTATGTTGATTTTGTGATATAATTGCGCTGTTATTGAGGTAAGTATTATGTTTATTCACATAAGGTATATATTTTATATAAACAGATAAAATATTTGATCTAAATGATTTCTATTTCAACAATATACTTCGATAGAACAATGAGAAGATGAAGTTGATTTGAAAACTGTGATGTATTTGCGCTATATATTTCGAACAGTCTGGTCACACATATACTTGTCAGGGTATTTTATATGAAAATTAATAAAACCCATTATGCTGCTCAGTTGGTTATGATTTCAAATAGACCTAGGCAATGTACAAATGATTATGTCACATCCCATTGTATTTACCAATTTACATGTTTGTGGACACACATACATAGGGAGAAGTAAACGAACAGTGCAATCAAGGGTTATAGAACATGTGCCTAAATGGCTTCGAAACCAATTAGTATCAAATGTTCGGATCAACGTGGGAGGTAGAAAACCATGTTCATCGATAGCGAAACATAATTAAAATGGGGTACAAAATTGACATTAATACAGCTTTTAAAACGTTGTATGGAAATTGTCAAGGAGGAATTCTCAATTGAGACGGGGCACAAAATTAACATTAGTACAGCATTTAGAATGTTGTACAGAAATTGTCAAGGTCGAATTCCTAAGTTTATTGAAGCCTTGGCTATTCGTAAATTTAAACCCCCTTATGTGTACAAAAACAATTTGTCGTAACCTTGAATTTACCCTGGTAATCCTTAAGTCATTCTATGGTATAAGATAACGCGACAATTTCTTATTCTTTCAATACGATGTAAAATTGTTTCTCTCCTCTTCGTTACTTTTTACTTGAACTTTAATTGACCTTTATTAATTTCCATATAAAATGCCCTGACAAGTATATGTGTGACCAGATTGTTCGAAATATAAAGCGCAATTACATCACATTTTTCATTTCAACTCCGTTTTCTCATTGTTCTATCGAAACTTGTAAAATGGACTAATTGCTTTAAATTGAATAATATATGTTTAAGATCAGCAAAAATATGGTTTTTTCTTACAACTGTGACTTCGATTTTCCAATTTAAAGCCCATTAATAACTGTCGTTGTTAGACTAATTGGAAATATATTTTAATGGCTCAATTTGTTCATGTGACTGACAAATATGTTTTTACTATTATTGGTTGACATTTAAAGGATTCTCATAAAATACTATGTCTGATTGTTACGTTATTATGTATATAATTTGATTATAAATGAATCTTAGAGCAGAAGCATTATCGATACACAAATATTTGTCGGCCCTCTTGAATATCTGAGCTATCTGTTTCTGTCATCAAGGTATTTCAATAGGTTATCTGTCTTCGTTTGTTTTAATACATCATTATGTCTATTAATTGCATAACCTATTCAGGCGCGTATCTGAAAAAATGTACAGTCTTTCGCTGTACAAGTTACAAAAAGTACAATTAGAGACATCGTGGTGACATGCAATATGCACTGAAAAGAATGAGCATTATTCAGATATCGATTCCTGAACTGTTAATATTTGAAAGGCGAGCACTTAATTTCTATCGTCAGGATTGATCAAAAAGAAAAGGAAACCTGTTGAAATACTTTGTGCTGAGAATTCTATATTGTACCAAAAATATAATATTAAATAAAGCCATTAATGATAATATATTTAGTGCCTAATTCGACAATAGGTTTTTTTATATTACACTGAACCATCTCCTTTTGATAACCAAAAGAGTTGTGACTCCATTGATTCTCAACGTAATCCTAATGAGTTTACTGAAGATCTAGAACTTAATTTCAGAATACAAGCGAACTGATATGTAACTCAGTGTACTACAAATACGATAATGAATGTAAAACGTGATAAGTAATCAAAAATAAGTAGGAGTATTTATGACCTTTAGTCTAATATTTCCTTAGATTTATATATGTACCCCTTAATACTTTTATTCTTGTTCTGAGTAGATACCATTTTAATCAAAGCAAATTATCAATTATGAAAAATCTATAACATTCTATTATAACATTTTTCAAGAGTAAACACAAGATGAACTTTATATCTTTTATATTCACCTTTAATTGTATAGGAACAAATACAATGAGTAGTATAGATGTCTTTATTCATAATGTAGCATGTCATAATTTATCCTTCAATATTATACATGCTCTTTTTGTGATTGATAAATGAATACTGAAAATCTAAACGTAACTTATTCGATATCGTATATGAAATTAATTCAGCTTTTCCCCAACAATGTCCGAATAGTATTCTGTGGTTCTTCATGTTGATAACTATGGTATATATTAAAACATTTCCAATGTTTTTTTAATATTTAAAGCATGTTTGTCATTCATCTAACTGTTTGTTTACAATTTACTTTGAAAACACAAATACTATTCATAAGGATTGATGCCTAATTAAAACAATGAATAAATATAAATGTATTATCGGTCATTGTAACCAGTTCAACATACATTACACTTTACATTAGTATACTTACTAATCTGTACTTATTCATCGAATACATTACAAGCCTAATTCGTCTATCATTTACTTAACACTGAATTAGAATCATTGTTTTGTATGTGTGTGTGTGTATTTTATTGCTGAAACCTTAAACTTTAAGTAATAAAGTACAGCCATATTTTGTTTGTTTCGGTTCTGTAGCCGTGTATTATTTTCAAATTCTATATATATAAAATATGCTCTAATAAATGAATAGAACATCAATCATCTAGTTGTATATTTATAATGAACAAGGTTTCAAACAGTATAATGTTGTTTAGTCATTTGTATATTTTCCATTATTTTAATATAAATATTATAATCTAAAGTAGTGAATGAATAGGAATCAATCTTAATATATAAATACGTTACAACTCATGGTTTATAACAGTTGACTTCTCAAATCCAATATAAACGAACTTGAATCGTAAAGATTATATACATATGTTAAAAAGTTGTCACAACTTTACCTAACTCTACAAATTCACTGTCCACTAATGAATCTACTAGCAAATCTGTGATTTATCAAGTTAATCATGTTTTAAAACTGAGAGAAATATGACTAATTACATTGAATGAAGATTGTACCATGTCTTTAGAAACATGGGACATTGAATAATTAGTTCGTGAATTTTTAGGTTCATTACTATATGTCGCCATTTGTGTACACTACTGTGAACTCGTGAATTAGAATAAACAGATACTCTATACAATGTAATTCTCACTGATTTTGAAACAGATCCCTTTTTTAAAGAGGAAGGATATATTTGTAAAATGTCAGCGAAAGTATTTGAAGTAAATTCAACGTTTCGCCTGGTAATCTGGTCCAAGCTTTTTCATTTTAAAAAAAAAGATCATATTTAATTAACAATAGAAGTAATAATAATGGAAAATGATCAACTTTTAGTGATAAAAAATTAAAATGGCACCAAAACCAGGTAAACAAATATTTCAACGTTAAATATTGACTTAAACTTGAAAGTGAATTTAAAGGTCACTTTATACTCAAAATATAGACCCAATTAGTCTGAACATGACAAACAAATAAAACAAAGAATATATATACATAGAGCAAAGGGGGATTATAAGATAAGAATATTTCATATATATTACTCTTAAATACTATAAATTCAGTGATACTGATGTACAAATATAACCTATTTTCTGCACAATAAGTACAGAGTTCGATGTATTAAACTAGTACTATTACTACTCCTTTGTACATGTTTACGTTTTTTTCTCTCTGTATTATAAGTCAATAAAACTGATTTTAAATAAGCTTCACTGTAATAAATCATTGAATCATTTCTTCGAAAATTAATACAGATATCTTTTAGCAACTATTCCAAAACCTTTTAACCGGTTTTTTTTTTAAAGTATATCTAACTAAGCACTTGGGTGAGATTATGGTAATCAAATCCCTTCTAATATACAATAGTGAATCATGAAAAATAATAAAAAAACAAAGCTATTCCAAAAAGCTTAATTACTAAATAATCATTTATTTGCTTTGAAATATAACAAAGAGAATAATTAGATAAATAATGTCAAAACAATAAGACTTAATCTCTCAATCATCGATCTAATAGTCACTAATAGGATGTAAATTTGGAACCTAATTGAAATAGGTTCTGTAATCCAACATAAACATTATCAAGCTGGTAGATTCAAGTTAAATTATACGTATCTAATCACAGATTGTTTTTAACTTCTCTCATCGTACATATATATATACAGACCAGTCAACCACATGACCAGTGTATATGAATAAACAAATGTTTTCCTGTATTCGCTTTATTTATTTATTATCATTTCACGATATCAATCTAACAATACATATGACAATAACAAAATATTACTAATCACAAAACAATATAAGTAGCTTTATTAGTAATCAATCAACAGATGTGAATTATCTATCAAAATGTTTGATAATGAAATTATAAATAACAAAGAGAATTTATATTGATATGTTACTGAAATATCAAGAAATTTTATGTAGTAATAATCCTTTTTCTGCATAAAACATCAATGTTTTATAGATTATTTACTAGTTGAATTCACCACCATGGAAAACCTGGAAGCACTGGATGACCATTTCGTTCTAGCATGCGGAACCGATAGGTCGTGGTTTCGAATCCCACGGATGGAATCGCGGATCAACACTGCTGAGGATTCCCACGCTAGGACGAAACGGCCGTCCAAACAAATAAGTTTAGAGGATAAATTAACACTTTTACTCTTTTATATACACGAAAATCTTTGATATTTTCAATTATGTTTCAAAAGATATAGTTCACTTTCTACATAATTCATATATCACTTTGATTAGACCAAACCCATATACTTACTGACAAAAATATAACATAGTCAACTGATTCAATCTCCGACTTCAATTGAACAAGACATACTTTACATATACTATGATGTGATTATACTACTGCTTACAGTACGATAAAGTCTAAAACAAATATTAAATATCAGTGTTGTAGAGATTCTTAAGTTTTTGATTGAGATCACGAACCGATTGATGTTA